ACGGGCTGCTAGAAGATCTCCCACCGGTTGTCGTAACAACCGATGATAGCAGCGACTCCGGCACCGACTCTGGCAGCGACAACGATGAATGAGAACAGTATGACACATCGATCATGACAAGTGTTTCCGTTTCGTTCTTTTCAACTGACTTCGTAGCGTTTACGTGGATGTGGCATGTAGTTACGTGTGGGGTGTTGAGCTGGATGTATTGTACATATATCTGCAGCTGAATACTCAGCGTTTTGTGGAATACCTTCAATAAAACTGAGCGAATTAATTTTCTGTGTTTGGGATTTTCCCATGTTATTCACGTAACAGCACCAGTTTGGAGCAATTACCGAATGAAAGTATAGCATAACTTGCTTCAAAGGTAGGCAATGAATTTAGAACGTAAAAATAATTGCCAACGAAAATAACCCCAGTGCCAATATATATATATATATATATATATATATATATATATATATATATATATATATATATATATATATATAGACATATATACATATATATATATATATATAGACATATATACATATATATATATATATATATATAGTTTTTTTGTGTGTTGAGCATGAAGTTGCCGCAAGCAATGCAAACATCCAAAACTGCTATTGCTTCGAGAGATCCGCAGTGCTGTCCTGCAGGCCTTCCGACCAATTTTGAGTTTGAAAAAAATTCAGCGTGATGCTCGTGACGGATTGATTGACCAGCTTTAATTCCGCTCTTTCTTACGATAAACAGAGCATAGTAGTGCTCCCAGGGCCTCGTTTGTCTTCTCCCAATGCTTGTCAGTTTTGGTTTGGATCCATTACAAAAGCTGGGTGATTCAATGCTATGAATGTATAACTCAGATTCGGAAACCCCCAGAGAGAATCGCGACGACGGATTGACTGGCTGAGTACCCCAGCGCGGCACGGGGTGCAAGGTTAAGCCATCGATATAAATAACACCGCTAAATGATAAAAACTATAAGATGTCGGATACACCAAGCAAAATAGGAGCCGGTCCCTACATTGCGGTTTGTGTAAACCGTGGCGTCATTGTGACGTCATGCCAATCGGTCCCTACTTCACTGCATTACACGGGTTCGTTTCCGTCGTGCGCAGCCCTTTAATATGTTTGCCATCGCAACCTACTCGTCTCCCGGGTATCAATGAACTTATTCCCATCGTCCTGCGACCAATGTAAAGGGGCGTCGAACCGGTCCTCGCTTCGCCGCATTTCGATGGGGTCCCGACTTCGCCCCGCAAACCCGTATAGGTGTGTGTGTGTGTGTGTGTGTGTGTGTGTGTGTGTGTGGTGTGTGTGTGTGTGTGTGTGGTGTGTGTGTGTGTGTGTATGTATGTATGTATGTATGTATGTATGTATGTATGTATGTATGTTTGTATGTATGTATGTATGTATGTATGTGTGTGCGGTGCGTGTGTGTGTGTGTGTTTGTTTGTGATTACGTATAGATAAAGCGTTAGAAATATAAAGAGATACGACCACTCTTCTTCAAATCATATTTTCTTTACCATCTGCATGGCCTTTACCGATACGTTTCTCATGACATACCAACATCTGGCATTATGTGTAAGTTAACACGAAACAAACATAATGGGCGCCTCAATTGCTCTCTAGCAGTTGCACGAGTATCCGGCAGTGGCCGCGGTTCCGTGCTAACCTATCATGTCACCAGACCAGCCGGTGGTAGCGGGAGCCGCACGATCAGTGAGGCAATGTTTGTGACCTTGCATCAGCGGCCCGCGGCCGATCTATAAAAGCCGAGGCAATGTGGATGCATGTACCAGTTCCACTGCGCACTCGCCCACCAAGACACAACATGCAGGTATCTCATTCACGAATAATACTGGTGTGCTTAGATGTCAGATGTTAGAGATCTTTCCGAGAAGTGTATCGTGGTGGGAACGTTGATAAACAGTGTTGCATTAGAAGCATGCTAACGAGATGCATTGCAAAATAGTAAAAATGCCAGAATGCATGGCTTATTGTTTTAATAATAGCACATCCCTCTTGGCATTCCAGGGTTTCGTCATTGCCGCCGTGCTGGCTATTACTGGCCGCCGCCCCGGCACCGGCGACGCCGGGCTACAAGACCGCTCCGGCCCCTACCACCCCGCCCCGTCCTACAAGTCGGCCTCTTACCACCCGGAGCCCCAGTACAAGGAGGTGGCCCAGCCGTTCGCTTATGACTACGCCGTCAATGACCACTACACCGGCACCAACTTCGCCAAGAAGGAGGAGAGCGATGGCCACAACACCCAGGGATATTACTCGGTGGCTCTGCCCGATGGTCGTGTCCAGCACGTCAAGTACGTCGCCGACAACTACGGCGGCTACAACGCTGATGTCACCTACGAGGGGGAGGCCCAGTACCCCGAGTACCATCCCGCCCCTGCTTACAAGGCGGCTGCCCCGGCCTTCAAGCCTGTTCACAAGTCTGCTTACAGCTCTCCCGCCCCGGCATACAAGGCCGCGGCATACTAGTCAAACACTGAGAATGACTTCCTATTTAGGGTCATGAATGTTGCGTTGTGACGATTTCTTGCCGTCTGTATTTCAATACAATGAGATACTTAAACCATGTGGCCTGGACACAAGCCTCCAAGTTATGCTATGGGTGAGCCAGAGCAAGGGTCATTTTGATGATGTTTTTTTGGTCAATGTCTAAAGAGAGACAATGCTAAATTTTACAAAAGTTGATGTTGGTTATGGGCTCCGTACCCTCCCCCGAATTTTGCGCACCGTTATTGGTGGGTACAATGATTCTTCTTCATATCCTTTATGGAAGGAGTGCCATTGTTTGATTTGCATGTGATTTCCCCAGAAAACGAGAATCAATTTCTTTATTTTCTTATGCGCCCCTGCTACGACGCGACATCATTGCAATGAAGAGAAGAGCCAATGCTCGGTTCTGGAATAACATTAAGGCTATTCCAGGCAGAAACGTGTCAGATATCAAGCCTGATACAATTCCTCCCTCGGCATTCAGCCTCACCGCGATTGTCTGAGTTGTCTGGGACGTAACTGTGTGCGTCACACACGTCACGAGCATGGATAGCCAGTCAGCTCGAATCACTCATGATGCAAACCCTACCTGAGTCCACGGTGACAAAAAAAACTTGAGCGGAAAATACGCCGGGATGGAAGAAAAGGCGGAAAGGCGGAGCAGAAAAGGGCTTTTCTGTTACCAATCATCACCGTTTAGGTATCTGGTTCACTACAGGACATTCCATCCCGCATGTACCAGACGGCCCGGCACGGCTGCGGCCTGGCACCGGCCGATATTGCCGGCAAAAGGACGGGGCGGCCAGCGTCCAGAGCGACGCCTATGCTCCTCATGCGGACCCTCCTGGTCGCCCTGGCAAACGATCCAACAAGCTGCGAACAAAATTTACCCTGAAGAGACGTGATGCTCGCCGTGGGATATAGCACTGTCATACAGGTGTGTAGCCCAGCATGCTAAGCACGCAGTTGTGTAGATGTTTGCTCGGGTCATATCGTTATGACGTACTCAGTCAAAGCTTGGCGGGTATATTTGTTCTACATCAGCAACAATTATGAGACTTACCTAGTTTGCATTACTAAGGTCCGGGTGATGGTCTGGATTGGCTTTGTGCCAGTCAAGTTCGGTCAAGTTTATAAGCTCACAGCAGAGTACCTACATAGGTCACGCCAAGCAAATAAGGCATGTTGCGAAAAGATGATGCGTTCTGTCCTGAACTTTTTTGTGAAAAAAAAATGTACTGCTCAGACCATGTGGTTTTATGCCACAAGTCATGTTTTTTACCATTCAAAATATAGTAATGCAACTATAACAACCCATGTGTGCGTTCTTCAAGGAAGACGAGTATAATGCTATTCATATCGCTTTTGTAAGTAATAACCGTTTTTATGAAGTGTAGCTGCATGGGCCATGGAAGTCCTTCCAATTTGGGCTGTGGCATTTGTCGCTTTTGGCAATTTCATTTTAGTCAACGCCCGTAGCGGAACCATTCAGATATCTGAGAACTTACAGTTAAAGTTGACTGATCCCATCCCAGATTTGGGTAAACAACAGTGTTGCTCCTCTTATTACCTACGTTCTCCGGGCCCATGGATTGGCTCTGGAAATGTGGTGGGCCTGACTGGAACGGCTTATACGGCGTTTTAAAAACTGAGAGGATTCGTTCAGTCCCCGGGCTGTAGAGGGTCAGAGGTGTGCTCAGTACTCAGGCCGTGGAGGGTCACAGGTGTGCTCAGTACTCTGACCGTAAAGGGGCAGAGGTGTTTGGGAAAAAGAAGCGCCAACAGTTTAAGCATGATGCTTTTGCACGATGACCGGTTTATTTCCTTCAAGTTGCATCTGAAAAGCATAATTTTGAATCCCTCTACAGTCGCACCAAAATTGAAATACCATGCTGAGATGAAACGTGAGCACCAGCATTTGGTGACAGGCCGTTGCAAATAGTCATACTTATAACATACTGTTGTGGCTGTTGGCATCTGTTCATGCGAACGTCGTTTGCCACAGCATGGTCAGATAACTTTGCACGCTGGAAATACCAGAATAATTTCGTCAGAACCAGCTGGTTCCAGCAAATCCTTTTATTCAATTGCACCAGGTCAGGAAACAAGTATCATAACATGAACATAAATAAATGAATGTTAGGAATCGTTCTCACTGTGGCTAGTACGCCGCCGGCTTACAAGCCGAGGCGGGACGGTTAAAGGCAGGCCTGTCGGCAGGCTTGTAGACCCGTGCAGCTGTCTTAGGGCTGCGTTGGGTTGGGGTGGCAACGTTGTAAGCAGGGGTAGATGCCTTGTAAGCCCGAGGGGCAGCGTTGTCGACAAGAGCAGGGTGGTCCTCGGGGTACTGGGCCTCTCCCTCGTAGGTAACCTCAGCGTTGTAGCCGCCGTAGTTGTCGACGACGTACTTGACGTGCTGGACACGGCCGTCGGGCAGAACCACCGAATCATATCTCTCGGTGTTGTGGCCATCGCTCTCCCACTTCTTGGCGAAGTTGGTACCGGTGTATTGGTCGTTGCTGGCATACTTGTAGACGAACGGCTTGGCGTTCTCCCCGTACTGGGGCTCTGGGTGGTGAAGGGCCGGCTTGTGAGATAAGGCCGGGGAGGGCTTGTACATCAGCGTCCCTTGAGTTGGAGCGGCGGCGGAGACAGCGAGCACGGCGGCAACGTCGAAGCCATGGAATGTCGTAGAAGATACTGCGCTGAAGAGACAGTCATTTTAACTGCGCTGTTTCACCGCGATATTTTTCACACACACGCTATCCATGCAGTACAGTTCTGCTCCTTTTAATCGCTGTTTCCTTCGCTAGAAAAATCGCCCTATTGACGGTCACGGTCAGGTGGCCAGGTCGCCATTGACAGACGGCTCCCAGTGTCACAAGGTTGGACCGAAAATTGCCTTTTTAGAAGTTTAGTTTAATGTGGTCCATATGTTTGGCCATGCTTGCACATGACGTAGGATAACCGCAGATCATGTAGAACTTAAGGCGACTTTGGAGAGGCACGGCTAAGAAAAAAGAGATAACGAAACAGCCGAATCATTAACATCCAGTCATTCACATATGTTAGAAAAGATCCGTTGAGCACAATTTTAGTGATGGGTTCAGGTATGCACATCGACACTCGCACCACAAGAAGTTCGGAACCAAGGCTTATCATGCCAGCAATTTGAAATAGATCTCCATTCACCCACTCATTTTCTCGCAGCATTACCCATGTGCTGCGATAGCCGCATCACATATCATAGCCTTTTCACCCATATATGTTTTGTTGTCTTTATTCAAGCAGAGCCACCAGGCCTCTTAGATGTGAAGACAAATCTGAAGGGGGGGGGGGGAAGTTAGATTGATTTATATTTCAAATTTGTCATGCTATTGGTATGCCACCTCATTTCGCAAACACACTTACCCAACATTCCGTGGAAAAGGCTTTGACCGAAACGGACCAGGCAATCTCGCCACATGCGTGTTGATGCATACTTTTCTTTGCTTGTTTTCACAAGCTAATGAAGGTATCAATTAAAAAACATGTGCATTTATCAAAGTACATTGTAATTGCTTGCCGCTCAGTGTTCACATATTTCATCAAACATTAAACTCTACGCAATCTGCTCGTTGGTCATACACGTTTGCCACTAAGTTTATTTGGTTTGGGCACGAAGCAGCCTATTGTTTCTGCCACCCTGTCGCAGATAAGGCTTGTGTATGAGTATTTACTTGGCGTCCCAGTGCATGCCAATATATTACCGCCTAGGCTTGTAAACCCCATCATTGTATTCGCCGAAAAATTATACGTTACTGGCTCGCTGGTCATCTATACATCCCTTTAACGGCTTGTTCAATATTTGTGCGAATATTTCTGGTTTCCGTTTACCCCTCAGCATAATGTCCGAACTCCAGCGGCTCGCCGTGCGCTGAAGTACTGGCACCAGTGACGCCACACTAGCTTTTTATGAGCCAAAGCAAGGACGCCTTTTTCCTCCCTGGACTGACCTAGAGTAAATTAAGCGAAGATGACGCGAGAATCACTGGAAGGTTTTATCTCGCTTGTATCGCCATCGTCTCGGTGCAAATATATTAAAAGGTGCCTACATGCATTCCCCATCTCGTTTCAGTCTTTTCCAGTAGAGGCGTTTCCCTCAACACCCTTTTCAAGCGCTCCCTAACCACATTTAACGGCCGCATTCACAAACTATAAGAAGTACGTCATGACATCAGTTGGTGAAACCAATCCTCAAGTATTATGTTTGTGGCGTCACAGATAAACGCATGCGGTAGCTTGAACTAATCTAGAAATCGGTCGGAATTTGCCGGCTGGTCTCATACCTCCATAAAATACCTATGCTTCCATACTCTGGTTTCTCCCCAGGTGTAATCCATTTTCAATTTCACATTCATAATTTTGAATGAAATACGACTGAAGAGGTAGCGAATTAGATAAGATATGATGGGCCCAGAGCGTGGCTAGGACGAGGCCAGAACTGCTCTCGCTGGGGATGTCCCAGATGTCTCGGCTGGAGAAGACGTCCCGGTCAGCACGAACAGCCCACTGCCGCTGGTGTTGATGGCGCGGTCCTCGACAGCCGTCCAAGAGGAGTTCACTGCTCAGCACCTGCATAGCGAGTCGTCGTCGTACCTCCATGCCTCATCCATCACTTCCGTCGTGTTTCGTTTGTTATGAGTGGGCTGTTCGATGACTTGATTACATGTTAACAGTATTCGGCTGTAGGAGCCACAGACACGCCTCGTATGCAGGACAAAGGGACTTCCATACGTACACACTATCTGGTGTGTATGCTTCATCTTTGCTAAAGAAGATGGCAGAGTATGTTCCCGTCTTATTTCCAGGTGAGCAGGTGCTCAATTGATTCAGACAAGAACTATATTCAGATCACATGTATTATGTCAGTTTCGGCACAGCTGTATCCATGGCATGACATTCTTACGGCCATGGACATGGCAAGCGCGATTGCACCATTCAACTGAAATAAGTTAACAACATGTCGCACTCGGCCAGCGCTGTTAAGTGTTCGCAAATTTAAGGCATTAAAGTGATCATCGGAAAGGAAACTCACTTCCACAACTGTGACCGTGAATGTCGCTTCATTCTTGCCATGCTCTGACTCCATGTGCATATGCATATGCATTGACATACCAACCATATGCGTTGAATAAAGAATCACTGCAGTGTCCGCTGCAGACTACGTCCGCTCGCCCCGACATTCTGACCGTCTGGGCCGCCGTATGGAGGCAGGCCAGTTACGCAGGTACGTACGGCGAGTGTCCACTTTACCTTTCGCATGTCTCAGGCCAGTCCTCTGGGCTTCATCCTGACGAGTGTCCAAAGCCACCGCCTCCCGATGAGTGTCCACTTCCTCCACCTCCTCCTGACGAATGTCCACTTCCTCCACCCCCTGATGAGTGTCCACTTCCTCCTCCTGATGAGTGTCCACTTCCTCCACCTCCTCCACTTCCTCCTGACGATTGTCCACTTCCTCCACCTCCTGACGGGTATCCACCGTCTCCTCCTCCTCCTGATGAGTGGTCACTTCCTCCACCTCCTCCAGATGAGTGTCCACTTCCTCCTCCTCCTGATGAGTGTCCACTTCCTCCTCCTCCTGACGAGTGTCCACTTCCTCCGCCTCCTGACGAGTGTCCACCTCCTCCTCCTCCTCCTGACC